ATCTCCCGCATTCGGAGCGAGCAGTTTCCAGTCATAACTTGGAAAACACTGACCCCTTTCCCTCTCTTAAAAATCCTGGATCAGTCTCTGCATTATTTAGGCCCTTCTTAAAAACTGAAACATCCCCCTAACCATTACATGGTTCACAGATTTGTTCGAAAGTAAAAATATATATGACACCAAAATTACTCAAAACGTAAGCTATTGATTACGATCAAAAGATCATTTGATTGTATGAAAATTTGGCACAACTAAACTTTTATAGATATGCTTGCATGTAAGTTTTATCTTCTACTTTCCTGAGTCAAGGGTTCCACTTTGTTTGAGCAAGACCCAATAGCAGTATCAATAGCTGGCACTATATTACAGCACGGCTCGATGTTCTGGATCACTTTGTCAAGTCCCGTCACGAATTCTTATCATCCGACCCTTTTACTACGCCAACCCTCTCCATATCTTAGATGATATGTAAACAAACAGTCGAATCAATACGTAATTTATTTATGACATTTTTTACCCTTACAAATCCCTATATAAGTCCGCACCATAGCTACCATTTGAAACATCAATTAATTTCTATTTGTAAAAGACTGCACGGGCCAAATTATCGTAGTTTGTGGTGACGAATCGGTCTACTTATAGAACAGGTTCGTCCAATGGTTCCACGGTTTGATAGTTTAACAGCGGTGCGTGTAAAACCGATTTTATAAGTATATGTCACGTTGAAATATAAAATTACTTAATATTTCGTGTTATAAGGCCACGTAATGACATTGCTAAGTAATGAGCTGGACTTTTCTAATACTTGTATCACAATCGGGGTACGAGTACGAAACTCTCTCATCTGGATACAATAAATAGGAAATGTACTATATTGGAAAACGCTACTAAATAGTCTAAATCAATCATTTTTGCAATACAACTGATTTTGTAACGTTGTGATCTACATTTCCGTGGTCATGTGGTACGCAATGCCTCGTTTCCACTCGACCAACAATATAAGAAGAGCAGAAACAAGAAAGATTCTTTTCAAAGTATGGTGACCTTATGACCTTGACCATTGACATGCAGGGCCATCAGCTTATTTTTCATAATTGTAATTATGTGAACATTTTAAATTTTTGCTATGAAATCATAGTGTTTAACTAAATAGAAATCTGAAAAATAACCCGTACTACTTCTAATAAAGAAACAATGATTCAAAAAAGTAATCAAGGGAGGTTTTTACTTTGACCTTTGACCTCCATAAGTATTTGTAGCGTCTGAGAGACATCGATGTTCTAAAAGCTTCAAGGTAGAGAGTTTGTACTGTATACAGTATTGAAAAGTAACTATAAGTTGCGGAAAAGGGAACTTATTTTTCTTTCTCATATAACTTCGCTCATTAAATGGGAAAGCATTACCTAATCAAAGCACGGAGACTCTTAGATATGGCCTTTTGACTTTTGCCTTGAACAGTATCGAGGAGTTATACGATCTAATCCAATTTCGCGTCAGTACTGATACTTGCTACGATGTATGAAGTTTGTTAGCGCGTCATTCCGTTCGTTTTTTAGAGAGGATTGAATTTTCAAATAAATAAATACTAAAATAAACTGATAAATCATGCGATGAGCAGAATATTCAAAATATTTTGAATTGTTTCTCAATTGTTATTTTTTTTATACACAATTATCTGTAAAATGCTTAGTATATAAAATACTTTCCCATCTATAATGTTTTCATCACAACTGTCAATTTTTCAATGGGCTTTCTCGAACCTTTATAATTTTGCTTCGAGAATACAATAAATAATCGATAGAATGTCAGTGCATGTCAGTGAGAAAATATCCCCGTTATTGTGCTGTGTTCGCTTTCTTCCTGTTTTCTTGTGGTGATCGATCGTCCGTGGATAGTGAGGAGCCAGGAGACTGGGCCAGATAGCCATGTCAGTACACGTGTTCCAGTCTCATTAACTATTCAGCCGTCGTTTATCGCTCAGCGTTACCGTCGGTTTGTCGTAATTAGGAGCCGCGTAATCATTGGTTTAGGTACTCGAAATCACGCTATACTTAGTCACGTGATAAGGCTTTGTATGGGGAAAACCAAGGAGTAAGTTGCCCTCTCAGTAAACTTTTGGAACACTATTAATTGTTGTTTACTGTCCATTATCTCAGTTTGAAGTAGCCATTTTCTTTAGTCTGCGTAACACTTTACAACCCAAAATCAATTAATTTCTTGATAATTTTGTCAATTTATATTTTATAAAAACAAAAAATAGTTTAACACTACTATACTAAAAACGTAGCTAAAATGCATAAAGTGATATTAGATATTTGGATTTTTATTTTTGCCATAAGTCAGACGGTATACCAAAATGTCCGTACTCAGGCTTTAGGTGTTTTGTCCTGGGGATATTTATTTAGGATATTGTACTATCATAGACTTATTAGACTAGAGATCGAAATACATAAATTTTAAATAATATATACGGACCGTTACTGATTGAATAGGTGTAGGGAAACAATTTACCAAGTAACCATAACTATGACGCCGAAACTTTAGTCTACGTAAAATATCTACCCGAATAAGCCGACATTTGTGTCAGTTGCACTGTTAAGTTTTATCGTTCTAAACCGGCACAATGAAAACAAAGCGAAAATGTCAGATAGTTAAACGTGTTCAGCTATTTCTGTATACGTTTTTATGTGTCACTGCTATTCAAGTATCTGTATTCTGTATTGCTGAATCTGTATTTTTTACTGTGCATTAGTATGGTCCTAGGATGTTGACTGTATTTAAAATTATGTGATTATGAGCTCTATTGAAACTTTACATTTATCGATGAGTAAATTATCAGCTTGTTCTTTTATTGTCCATGGTATAATATAATCCTCAGATATTCTTTTCCTTTCTTTCTCTCTACATACCCATTTTAAATAGTGACCGAATTCTTGCAAGTTCAGGTAAATACGTGAGGCGACTAATGAGGGCAACCTGTATTATCGAGAGATCTTCGGCGTGACTCTATTTTGACGAGACTGATATAGGGATCCTGTAGTATCAATGGTATTGTGTGACTGTCGTGCGAGTTGTAAAAGTTCAGCGTGACCATCTTATGAGGCGACTTATGTGGCTACTCTGTATTTGGGGCGAGTTCTAGTTCTGTATGACTGTCGTATGAGGCGATCTATGAGGGCATCATAAAAATGAGATGACTTATGTGGGCATCACTGCTATGTCTAGAGCTCTGTGTCTAAGGCTTTCTGTTTGGATACTCCAGCAGTGTCGGGAGACCTTTGTTGATGAATTTTGAGGCGACCTATGTGGGAATATAGGGTGATCTGTGTGACTTTCGTATGAGGTTACTTATGCAGTGTCTGTGGCTGTTTTATGAGGTGAACTGTATGGGCACCCCAGCGGTGTTGAGTTTTTTGTGTCACAGTTGTATGTGGACATCCCTGCAATATCAGGAATTCTGTGTTTTATTAGGAGACGTGTTCGGAAATTCTGTGTCTGCTTTATGAGTTTACTTCTGTTTACTAATTAGCATTCCTGCAGTGTCAGGGATTCTGTGCGACTGCTTTATAAGGTAACTTATGTTGACATTCCTGCAGTGTTGGGATTCCCGTGTCTGTTTTATGAGATAAATTATGTGGGTCTATTTTATGAGGCAACATATGTAGACATCCCTGCAGTGTATGGGATTATGTGCGACTATTTAATTGACGACTTATGTCGGGGCATCCCTGCAGTGTTGGAAATTATGTGTCTGTTTTAGGAGGCGACCTATGTTGATATCCTTGCAGCGGAATTCTGTGGCTGTTTTGTGAGGCGACCTATATATGTGGGCACAATTGCAGTGTCGGGGATTCTGTGCCTGTTTTAAGAGGCGACCTTACACTGTCACTTGTGATTTGCTTATTGTTAGGTCTCACACACACCAGCATTCCTTGTTTCAACACCCCACCCCCACCCCCTTTTATATGTATTTTTTTTATCTTTATTGTATTTTTTTCAATAACAGATATGTTTCACTAATGGGCTTAATCTTTCTCTACCAGAATGTGAAAATAATCATCCTACTCGTGAAATATAAACTTTTATTCATCCAGATACCAAATTATCCTGTATTTCATAAACGTCAGCTATATGTGTGTATATCACAATACTGACCATAGTGTTAGCTACACACATGACGAATTAAATACTTCTTAAGGTATCAAATGTGAAGATTCATTTTTTCACACATTATTTCAAGTCCTTGTGGATTAATAGTGTTTAATTAAGAACATGTATATTATCCAAAAAGTTTTAAAAGCTTTAGCTACTGCAGACTGATCACATGGAAATCATCGCCTTCTTGTCTCGTAGGAATCTTTATATGACGATTCTCTCTAGGATGTTTTTGGAGTGTCTATGGGTATGCCTGTTCACAATTTCTACGTCTTGATGACTGTGTGTTCATATGGGTTTGCCTGATGATATTGAAGTGTGTCTGTGGTTTTGACTGATGAAATTGAAGTGTGTCTGTGGTTTTGACTATAAAAACATGACAAGTGTTCTAACAGTTTGACAACTTAGTCTTGAAAACGGTGTGTGCCTGTCTATGGTTTTGAGTCTAGGGGTATGACAATTTTACAACTCTCCGTTTTGATGACGATGAGTGTCTCTCTGTGTATTGTCTATGGGGTTACTGATTATTTTAAGATGTCTAACGATGCTTAAAATTGACAAATATCTATCTTGAAAATGGTGCATGTGTCTGTAGTTTTGATTCTATGGATATGACTATTTCTTAATTTTACACCCCTCCAATTTGATGACGGCTTGTGTGTATTGCAGTGAAGGATAAGGTGTCTATGGTTTTGACTCTATAGGTATGACAAGTTCACCATTTTACAACTCTCCGTTTTGATGACGATGAGTGTGTCTATGGGTGTTATTATATGGGTGTGACAGGTTTATTCGATTTGATGACATTATGGGTGTAACTAAATGGGTGTTGCTTGAGTACTTACAAATGGATAACTCTCCAACTCGATGATGGCAAATCCGAGGATGGAATTTCGGTTAATGAACTAATATTTGCATTGCTGCAGTCCACCACACAGTTTGTGGGGGACGAGTCCACACTGTAACATTTACACATGGACGGACAGGGGGACGGGGATGCCCCCACCACCCCCTGTCCCCAGCACAGCAACAGCAGTAATCCAAACGACAGACAACACATCCGCGGCTGGCGTAAAGCTCTGGGGAAACCATGATGGCTTTTAGTTTTTGACTTGTCAACTTTCAGCATACTACGGCGACCGGGCAGGCGTTGGTGTAATGCCATTAAGGCCCAGGCAGTGCCCCACAATCCGCATAGCGTTATATCCCCACACCCGAAAGATTTTCGGTACAGGGCTCGCCCCAAGGTAGCAGGATCCGGTATTAGTTCAACCTGTAAAATATATACGGTAAATAATAGAAATCGATCATATACACTGTATATATATAACGGTAATAGCTGTCAACTAGATCACGGGTGTGTACTTAGTCAGGTATGTACCCTACCTGTATATGTATAGGTACCCGTATCGGACAGGTAACGAGGTTAGGTAACACTCATTAGGACTTATGTGTCCATTACTCTCACATGAACCCACCTTTCTCCATTCCGGGGTTTAGCAGGCCTGCCATTCATATAGTGTGTCGCGTTCGTCATGTACATACTGTGACCACCATTACTGTAATGCTAGATTGTCAATCGACTGTGTCGTCACGTGACCAGGTACATGTCTTTGTTGCTGTTCAATCGTGTACATTACGACCTTGTCCCCTAGTTGTAGCATGGCAACCTATGACGCTATTAGGCGGTTAGGGCTTTCAGGTAGGTTTCGCTTTCCCTTGGTCAGAGTAACGTACCTGGGCAGTAATTGACCGAACCCGACCTCGCCTGGCTGATCTCTCATGCTACGACTGGTATTAAATCTCGATAGCCGAAGATTTAATTTTAAATAAAACAAATTAAATTCCATATTAAAATTGTTTGTGGTAATACCCGTTTTGATCAGGATTTAGCCCAGTTTATATGTGCCAAGTACGTGTTTTTTTTTCATTATGTAACTACATTATTTGTCCTACTGTAGGGGACTACCTTGGTTAGACAATGGACGCATGCTTATCGCTTAAATACGACCCGAGAGCTTTAATTACATAATCTGTCATAAAATCAAGAATATATACATATATCTAAACGAGGACCAAACTAATAGGAACGCCACTCCTTCACATGTGATATTTTCTCTACATTAAAAAAATAATGCTATGTGACGATTTTTCTGCTCCAGTTACAAATCTAGTGTAAATCAGTTTGTAACGGGAATGACCCAGACCAGTTAGTTTTTTTCCCCAGTAAATGTAAAATAGAGACAAAAAACATGTTACAAAATGTGAATATGGTGTTTGGATATCGATAGGTCCCTTTAAATATTTTGAATGGAAATTCAATGAACTCCTCAGACTCTGTAGGTCATCCACTACGAGTCCTCTTCCGTGACTAGTACTGAGGCCTACAATTTCAGTCGTGTCCCGATATCTGAAACAATACGGAGCTCACTGCAGTAACCCATCTTATCAGCCGCTCCATCGGCCGCCACGGCCCAGCGCTGCTGCATGTATATAATAACAGACTGATGCATTCGTTGTTCACAATGGTAACAACGGGGCCTAAAATTACACATTGTTTTCCGGTTTCGTCCATAAAAAAAAACAATGTCTTTCAATACCGTATAGCATGTCACTGGAGTGCCCGAAGTTCACCGTGTATACACACAGACAGACAGATTGGACTGTCATTTGCAGATCATCGAAATAACACTGATGTTAGCAATGGTTGCTCGGAAAGTTTGAAATATTGATCGAACAACTAACCATGTTGATCAGAATATTAACAAAGTTGGTCGGAACTGCAATGTACGGCAATGTCGATTGATACTATAATGTTGTTGATGGAGACCGCAAAACTGACAATGCTCGGATCACTGAAAATATCAATCAGACCAACAGTAAATAAGAACAATCTTGACCAAAACAATAATAAAAAAGGTCGGGACATTAACCATGATCGATCGAAATTAAAATAATGTTCATTATAACAGGAAAAAACCTAACGGGATCTATGATTATTCTTAACGTCAAAAATGTTGATCAGAGCACTAACAATGTTGATCAGAGCACTAACAATGTTGATCAGAGCACTAACAATGTTGATCAGAGCACTAACAATGTTGATCAGAACACTAACTATGCTGATCAGAACACTAACTATGCTGATCAGAACACTATCAATGTTGATCAGAACACTAACAATGTTGATTCGATCACAAGCAATGTTGATCAGAACACGAACAATGTTGATCGGAACACTAACAATGTTTCTGAATACGAACAATGTTGATGGGAACACTAACAATGTTGATTCGATCACAAGCAATGTTGATCAGAACACGAACAATGTTGATAGGAACACTAACAATGTTACTGAATACGAATTTTGATGGGAACACTAAAAAGGTTGCTCGGAACACAAAAAATGTTGATCAGAACACTATCAATGTTGTTCGGAACACTTACAATGTTGACCGGAACACTAACTATGCTGATCAGAACACTAACAATGTTGACCGGAACACTAACTATGCTGATCCGAACACTAACAACGATGACCAGAACACTAACTATGCTGATCAGAACACTAACTATGCTGATCAGAACACAAACAATGATGACCAGAACACTAACTATGCTGATCAGAACACTAACAATGATGACCAGAACACTAACTATGCAGAACAGAACACTAACAATGATGACCAGAACACTAACTATGCTGATCAGAACACTATCAATGTTGACCAGAACACTAACTATGCTAATCAGAACACTATCAATGTTGATCAGAACACTATCAATGTTGTTCGGAACACGTACAATGTTGTTCGGAACACTAACAATGTTGATGTGAACACTAACAATGTTGATGCGAACACTAACAATGTTGTTCGGAACACTAAAAATGTTGTTCGGAACACTAAAACTGTTGATCCGAACACTAACAATGTTGGTCGGAACATTAGGATTAATTAAGATAACAAAAACAACAACAACGGTTATCGGAACACTAACAGTAACTGAAGTAGAGTAGCTGAACACAAACAATAATGACAACATTGATGGTTGATCAGAAAATTATTAATAGTTGGCGGGATACTTATAATGATTGACCGGAAGTTTAGCGGATGTTGATAAGAACAACCGTTGATCGAAACACATCAGTTAGACTCGAGACTCGGAGTGATGGTGTACGTCCGCACAATAAACACAACAATTAGACTCGAGACACGGAGTGATGGTGTACGTCCGCCCAATAAACACAACAGTTAGACTCGTGATAGAGACTCGGAGTGATGGTGTGCGTCCGCACAATAAACACACCAGTTAGACTCGAGACTCGGAGGGATGGTGTACGTCCGCACAATAAACACACCAGTTAGACTCGAGACTCGGAGAGATGGTGTACGTCCGCACAATAAACACACCAGTTAGACTCGAGACTCGGAGTGATGGTGTACGTCCGCACAATAAACACAACAGTTAGACTCGTGATCGAGACTCGGAGTGATGGTGTACGTCCGCACAATAAACACAACAGGTAGACTCGAGACTCGGAGTGATGGTGTACGTCCGCACAATAAACACAACAGTTAGACTCGAGACTCGGAGTGATGGTGTACGTCCGCACAATAAACACAACAGTTAGACTCGAGACTCGGAGTGATGGTGTACGTCCGCACAATAAACACAACAGTTAGACTCGAGACTCGGAGTGATGGTGTACGTCCGCACAATAAACACAACAGTTAGACTCGAGACTCGGAGTGATGGTGTACGTCCGCACAATAAACACAACAGTTAGACTCGAGACTCGGAGTGATGGTGTACGTCCGCACAATAAACACAACAGTTAGACTCGAGACTCGGAGTGATGGTGTACGTCCGCACAATAAACACAACAGTTAGACTCGAGACTCGGAGTGATGGTGTACGTCCGCACAATAAACACAACAGTTAGACTCGAGACTCGGAGTGATGGTGTACGTCCGCACAATAAACACANAAACCCGATTCTTGAGACAGTTTCGAAGCGAATCTCAGATCAAAATAGAATGGCCCCAATTATTATTTGTATTGACTAAAACAAACGGAATTAAACGATGATAAGAAATATTTTTTGTTCTTTTACCATAAATATACGTCACTATACTAAGGATTAATAACGTCGGTAATGATCAAATTGAGGCAAACAACATATTGACATTTTGGGGTTGGGCTGTTGTTCATGACGTCATTGAGAATTTATTTCATGACATGTATAGGTGAATGAATATAAGCAAACGATAAATTCCACAGGTTTAATACTTAGTGTCCACTTGATTAACATATTTGGCCTGTATAAAAAAAATATAGTGTAATAGCGAATTTCGGTCACTAGTACACTGATATTCTTCAGCAGACAGCGAAATGCAGCAAATCAACGCACGTGAAATACACGCACTCAGGTGTAACTAATGTTTACTATTATATAAGGCACGTCTTCCGATTAGCTTCACGGTAGATCAGATATAAACAAATGGGTCTGACATTTTCGTGCCGGTAAACCAGAAATAGAACACGATTCATCTCTCACATGGCGATATCATCATATTTTCCTCTGTCGCTATCGGGCCTCATAACCTTGACGGATTCTTATTCGTTATATTATTATTACGTCCACGCGTTAAACAAGAGCAGAAAAGCAGACGTCTGATTCACAATAGTGTAGTAGGTGACTGTGAAGGACACGCGTCAGTGTTTCAGCATGAGCGTCAAAATGTGACAGAACCTTGTTGACTTGGTTTGTTATTGCAGATCGTGGTATACACATTACTTGGCCGACATAAGTACAGTTACCTTTATAAATGATATAGATGGGTAGTAAAACATAAAAAAAACATTGGACACAATCAAGTATTTATTGCAGTTATCAAATATTAACAAAATTTCGTTTTATCTATCGGAGTGATACACGCACATTGATCGTTAATAATTCAGCATGCACAGTTGTAGACCAAAGAATCTCTCCAATATAAGTGATATATATGTGTCTCGGGGGCGAACTACATATAATAAACACAGGAAATCAAACATTAGTCACTCTAACGATCATTGTAAACACGGGTATAGACACTTAGTCAAACACGGTCAGGATTTGTATTAATTTGTTTTGACACGTTTAATAATCGTATGGACACTGTTAGTTGTTGTTGTATGAGCACTGCTTGTAGTTCATTTTAGCGGCATGTTACGTTCTGTGAACTTGACGTCATTATCTCGTCCTCGACGTCGTTTTGACGGTTAAGTCAGTTTTCTAGAACTTTTACATTTATTACAGGGTAGGATGAGCAATGGTGTTTTTTCAGAATGTAAGAAAAGCAATAGCACACACATGTATCGTTTTGCCTATTTACTCAACTCCAATGTGTTTCCTTCTGTGATTTCATTTCGGAATGCCACGGAAATTACACTGTAAACCTTAGTGAAAACGGTATATGATGTCTCCATCTCCCATAGCGACATAGTTTTAACATATGTCCATTCCTGTTCTCTTATTTTAGTAAAACGAAATCCTATGAAATTTAAATGCTTAATA